CTTTTTAAATTATTAAGAACCCATTTCAAATAAAGTATCTTTACATACTTTACTGAAATGTAAAAAAATAATTACCAAAAAAAAGTAAGTTACGTTATTATAAATAAAGTATGGTTGGCGACCCTATCTACGTCAGTTATGATTAATCTCATGGAATATGAGGCTTTGTAATTGAACACTTACCTTTATTAAAACTAAATTATTTCGACTACTCAATATGAAAAAAAACCACACTTTCATTAATTGATTTTAAAAAGTATGCTTTACGTATGTTCGACGCTAAAAAAACGTGACGTCAATGTCGTACAAAATTCATAAAAAACTGTCGTTTCTGACGGTTCAAAAGATGTATAGAATTTGACTAGTTGGCAAATACCCAATTGTACAAGAGTTCCTACAGCTAATTGTCTAAAAACTTTGTTCGATTAACATCAGTGTACCTACCAAGTATTAAGTTAATTTTCTGCCTGTTTACTCTCGAGTACATTTCGACATTTTACTTGTAAGATAAAAATTAGTAGTCCATGTTATCTAACTGCTGCAAGAAACCGGTCTTTAGAAGTCATAGAAAGAAACAGTACCTATTTTTTTTATTTTTTTTAAGGGGGGGATAATCATCGAATGACTGCTCCCGCCTGGGTGACGCGGGAGGGAGTGTCAGACTCTTACTGACTAAAAACCACCCCATTCCTTCTCCTGCACGTCGAGCCAGAGCCCCGGTTACCCGTTAGGTTCTCAAGAAACAGTACCTATAAGCTCTACACATCGACTACACGGTTGGCGCGGTGGCTACCGCACAACGTGTCGCGAGTTCGATTCCCGCACAGAACAACGCTTTGTGTTATCCACAAATTGTTGTTCCGAGTCTGATTGTCATGTGAATGTGAAATTGTTTGTTTGTAAACGCACCCACGACACAGGAGAAAATACTAATGTGGGGCAACGCTTTTAAAGGAAAAGATGCATATTTAGAATTACGTCCCATAAATTCCATAAGTAAGACAACCAGAAACATCTAACAGATCTGTGGTTTTGTCTGTATCATACTTTAATTAAAACAAACCATTTTTAGTATGTATCTAAGTTTTAGTATTTAAGTATCAAATTTAGTAGATCAGACTTGATCCCTAAACACATATTTTCTCTTAACCGACTTCAAAAAAAGGAGGAGGCTCTCATTTTGTAAACGTGCATTAAAAGTCACGTTAACTATTTCAATATATCGATCACAAATTGATATAAATAACATTAAATATCAAATTATACGGTACTAAATTCAGTTATTATAGAAGTCCACGTGATATACCCAGTGAAAGTAATAAATCACTAAACTCTGTTACTTTACAAATGTGCCTTGACTTTTAAACTGTGTGGAGGGTGCCAAGTTACTGAAAACAGCGATATTTTAATATTTAACCAACGATAAATCGAGTCTAAATAGTTTAAAATTACATTTAAAAATTGATTCAACAAGAAGCACTTATAAAGTCATCAATATTGCACGGTGGACTAGATAAAATAAAACAAGAAAATAAATGTTTAGGTTTAGGATAAACAACGAAAACATAACTAAGACATTACTCCCTCGCTCCACAAAATTCTGGTAAAAAGATAAATATCATCAAGCGATAAAGGTTTTCAGCTAAAATCTAAAAGTGAAATTATTTTGCTAGTTTATGTTTGTGTTCTGATTACTTAACGCCATAAAGTGTGGCCATAAAATCGTTACGACACAAGTCCAGCCATGCACTCACATACGTCCGCACCACAATGCACCATGATTATGAAACAAATTCGCTTAAAGTATAAAAGTACACAGCTGTCATGAACGCCATTGAAACCGCACTATTTTGATTCGGTGCAGTTATGATTTCAGTAAGTTAATATTTTGTAAGAATTTTATAATCGTTTGATAATTTTAATACATTATTGTTTTATTAAAGTATGTTTGGTAAAATGTCACTCACCATTGACTTCAAAAAGTAATAATAATGACATCAATGCAATAACTTCGATTTTGTTACAGGATGCGTTACAAAAATGGAAAGTAGTAATTGTTATCTTCCTGGGTGTGGTACACTCACAAATGCCAATGATGCCGATGCCACCGATGCCGATGCCGATGCCGTTCGGGTACGGGCCGATGATGGTGCCTGGACCACCGCCACCCCCACCGCCCATGCCTGTGGCTGTGCCGGTTCCCGTCGGTATACCGATACCATACCCCGAGACTACTACTGAAGCCTCGACTACTACCACCACTACCACCACTAAAAGAGGGCCGGATGGCGTTGGAATACCCATCGCGATACCGGTGCCAGTGCCACATTTTGTGCAGATAGCAATTCCAGGATTTATGCCCCCAAATTGTCCGCCAAAAGACAAAAATAATGGCAACAAGAATTGTCCACCTTGTCCACCATGCTCGTGTAATCCATGTACACCGTCATTCTTCGCCTACTGTTCGTCTTGCCACCTCCAGTGTAGATGTAAGAACGGCCAAGAAAACCCAAGACCTCAACAGCCAATAGCTCCTCATCCTCTGCCGGGTCCCGCGTTCCCGATGCCCATACCCATGCCTGCTCCGCCACCAGTAGTCATTGTCCCATTCCCGCCCCAGTTCAACACTCCACGTCAAGATTCTTCCGAGTGTTCTCAAACCGTCAGTACGTCTGTGTCGAGCGAAGACTCTGACTCTTGCGATGACGATCAGAGTCGTCGCAGAAAGAGACGCAAAAAAGGTAAGGACAAGAACCGAAAGAAGTCCAAATATGATATTTATAGACGAAGTTTTGGTGGTATCCAAAATAATGAAAGACTTGTCAAACCCGTGCTGACGTATATGTCGAGAGACGGAGAAATCAAAATGAAACGGCGACTGAGTAACGATGAAGCGACTGCACTGCTCGATGACGATTCATATCAAAATGTGCAGCTCATAGCTGGCGAGGACTCGGATAACAAACCGAGAGTAGTGGTGAGGTCCCAGTCCCAGCCCTACATGAGAAGCAACCACCGACGGCGGAAGCTGATGCTGCAGGACGGCAGCATGCAGCACTCGCTGGGGGACGGCAAGAAGGAGCTGGTGTTCAGACCACCGGAGAACAAGAAGATAAGCAACCTGTCTGTGTCATTCCAAATAACCAAATAGTTCATTACATACGTTTATTGTTTTTATATCATAATAATTTATATTTTGTATTAAAATGATTAAAAATCTCTTACAAAAATTGTTGTAGCTGTTTATTAATTATTTTTATAAATCAAGTGATATTTTTCAGACGACTTCATTTTGTGTACATTGTGCTTGATCACACACACATCAATTAATTAATTCACATTCCAAAAGGAAAGACAATTATTACACCATTACATTTACCAGGACTATCATTTTCTGGTTAGGAAATATTAAAAATAGATAACAGACATATTCACGATGTGTATTCTGTAAAACCGGAACGTATTATAATAGCTATAAATAAAATATAGTTGTGTTGCTAGTCACTTACTCGTGATTTCAGTAATTTTCTTACACTATTAGCTTATTTTGTAACAGCTGTCAATGGGCTGTTGTGTACCTTGTAATGTAGAATTTCACTAAACAAGAATGATTGATTTATTTTAAACATTAGACGTGTGACTGCCTCGTTGGCCGAGTGGTCGCAAATGCGACTGCCGAGCAAGGGGTCTCGGGTTCGATTCCCGGGTCGGACAAAGTACTACTGCTATTTAAAAAAATCTCAGTATAGCACTGAATCTGGAATTGTGCCAGGTATATGGCAATAGGCTCACCCCCTATTACATGTGACTATAACATAAATAGTGAAAAGTGGGTGAATTACATTGTACAGTGGCATTAAGAGCTGTAAGGTGCACCACGGCCTACCCCTTCAGGGATAAAAGGCGTAATGTTATGTTAATTTTGCGTCTGTATTAATTTAATGAGCAGATTTTTTTTATAAAGATACTTTGCATAAAAAAATTAAAGGAATAGCAAATTGTTTTTGCGTAGTGTGGGAGAGTACCTAATTTAATTATATATTATGTCTATGGTAGTGGTGGAGTTTCAATTAAAAAAAACATTATAATAATAATATTCTTGTTTGATTAAAAAAAAACTCATTAAATAAACGAATTATTATTAATGCGTTATATTTTTTTTAATTGTTAGAATAACTGGTGACTTGACATTCGAATTTAATTTTAAACATTTATTAAAATATTATACACACATTTGTTAAATTATTCATAATTCCAACTACTTAATATTGTAACTTCCACGAGGACAAAAATATATCACTGTTTACTTCATTACATTCTATATGTGGGGGAGTCATGCTTCGCCACGAGTGGGCCGGCTCGACGGGAGTGATACCGCGGCCTCACAGAAAACCGACGTGACAACTTTTGTTGTATTTCCTCGTGAGTGTGAGGTTACGGGAGGCCTAATTACACCCCCCCCCTCCCCAATCTTTTTAATCCCTGAACCCCCAACAATCCTCAAATTCCTAACCCCTAAAAGGCCGGTAACATACTTGTAACACTTGTAGTGTTCCAGGTGTCCATGTGTGATGCCGATTGCTTACCATCAGGTGATCCGTCAGATAATTTACCGGCTTACCCCATCAAAAAAAATTTTTAGAGATATTCAGCTAACATTGTAAAAACATAATCAGGTAATCATGAACAGTAATTTACATTTTCTATGGAGTAGTTCGTGTGAAGAATGGATGATTAGCCACCTATTATATTTAGATGGAAGATCATTTTAAACCGACTTAAAAAGAAGGAGGTTCTCAGTTTGATGTGTATGTATGTTTGTGCGCGATTATCGCGCGATTGGCTGCACCGATTTCAATGCGGTTTTCAGAAAAGTGTTTGTTAGACTTAGGAGGGAGTTTTATTATATTTGAAAGAAGAAAGAAAGATATCATTTACTCAGCACCAGCCACGACGATTATTAATTAACCGACTTCAATAAAGAGAGGGTTGAAGTCGGTTTTTTTTAAACTCAGTTTATCAAAGAATTATTACTAAGTAAAAGTAAGATAACAACAAAGGTCCACTCCTGTACAACGTCTAAAAATAAGAATTACACTGATACCCGCGACAGTCTGTTTGCGATCTAAATCGGAAATCAAAGAACAAAACGAAAATGATTCACATAATTTTTGAACCGTTGCGAATCGGACCACCATCCCCAAAAGTTGTCGCGGAGAACCTAACGGGTTACCGGGGCTTCGGCTCGACGTGCAGGAGAAGGAACGGGGTGGTTTTTAGTCAGTAAGAGGCAGGAGCAGTCATTCGATGATTTTCCCCCATTAAAAAAACATCCCCAAAAGTTAGGGAACGACCTTTATGATCCTGTTTGATTGATTGTTTCCTTACAACCACCGACCCCAGGTACCGAAGCTCCTGAAACCGTCGCAACGCCCGAGATCCAGAAATGGTTAACGACAATCGACCAGAGCCTTACTGACATATGCAATATTGTCGGTGATGGCAAGATGAACTCGGAACAAAAGCTGCGAGTCAACGCCCTTTGTAGAAGAGTGAGTAACGGGACTTCACAGATGGCAGTACTTTACCAATCTCTTAAAGCCAGAGCCCTACTTGCCCACCAAAGCGCTTGTAACCTTGAAAATCAATTAGACCTCTCCCTGCAGCTTAAAGACCTTCAGCAGAGAATTGCTGAAACTCCCAACCCTACCAGAACATATTCTTTCGCTGATATGGTAAAAAAAGGTGCGAATAATTTCATCCAGCCCTTAAAATTAAGCTCTGTCGTAATTTATCCAAACGATACAACGAAGACGAGTGACGAGACGAAACTATTAGTCCAAAAAATCATCCGCCCTGAAGAAATGAAACTGCAAGTAAGAGGCCTTCACAAAACTAAAAACGGAGGTGTCATCATCAGTACCGAGTCAAAAGGCGATATTGAGAAGTTGAGACAATCAGCACAACTTACAAGCTCAGGTCTTACTGTCGATGAGCCGAAGAAAAGAAAGCCCAGAGTCGTCATCATAGGAGTGCCATCAGCTATGTCCGACAACGACGCTTTAATATGCTTGTACCAACAAAATCTGGCAGACAAATTAGAAAATTGCAGTCTTGACGCTTTCTTAAAGACAACAAAGTTAAGCCATAAATCAGGGAGGAGAGATGCTGAGACCTGCAATTATGTGGTCGAAGTAACTGCAGTCATTCGAAAAGCCTTAATATCCAAAGACCGAGTCTTTATAAATTGGTCATCATGCCCTGTTCGCGACTTCACTCTGGTGACCAGGTGCTTCAAGTGCCAGCAGTACGGACATGCTGCTAAATCATGTCGACAGACCTCTTTTACTTGCGGACATTGTGGCGAACAAGATCATACCATAAAAGACTGCCCAAAAAAATCAGATGAGCCGAAATGTGCTACTTGCCTTTACTTCAAGAAGCCCCACAATCACATGACTGGTGCTACTGAATGTCCTGCAAAAGTTATGGCCGAAAGAAGGTACATAAACTCGGTGGACTATGGCGACACGTAAGAACGCTACAACTTAATCTAAATATATTACAATTGCGCAATGTAAACAGGTTGACCTACTCATCGCCTAGTTGCTGTCTAAGCAGTTTATTGTAATTTGTACTAAAACAGCAAGTGTATGATCGTGGACTCTCACCTAGTTTATATAATATCTACCGATGCAAGTAATTTCTCGACTATAGTGATAAATAATATGCTTTTTGTCTAAGTTAAATCGTATCGTTTAATTATTTGAGTATTGGATACCTATTTATCTACCTACACCATATTGTCATGTTACTCTTAAGTTCTTTCACCTCTGCCTATCTCTTTCGGGAGCATAAGGCGCGAGGCTATGTATGTGTTTATGTATATTATATAGTCATATTTTATTTTGTCAAAATTATGTCAAGTATTAATGCATGTAAGAGCGTATATAGAAATAAAATTATAATAATGTTAGACCTACTTTCGCCTGTGACACAGGATTATCCTAGTACAGGCACCTAACCATGTGAGATCTATTTTATTTACCTATGAAATATTTTGTATCTGTGTCCATTTACATTTCTGAATAAAGATTTTATTTATTATTATTTATTTATTTGATTTCGTCCATACTTCCGAGGACTTGTATATGTTTAGGCATTTAATATTTGAAAATATAGAACCTTATGAAAAACTATCGTCGTAATTTCACGTTACGAGGATTTGACGCAACAATACTTCCATTATTTCCTCTTATGAATGAACAATTACTGTTTGTGCAACACTTTTTATTTTCCAAGTTTAATCTAGTTTGTATGGCAGTCACTATTTTAGGATTACTACGGCTCGGAGCTTATGGCGACCACTCAGAGGTAACTTAATTTCCTTATTTGAAAATCGAAGTTAAGGTCTTTCTTGTCTTCTTTCGTCTAGTAGTCTTACTATGTAAGTACTTATTTCCTTTTTTTTAATTATGTTTTTGTTCATGGATCGTCTGATATAGAGGTAGTATTTTTTATTTGTTTAAACGTGCACCTCAATGTTTATATTTTTCAGAAAAATGTCACATAAACTGGTGATCGTTGGAGCTATTGTCCAACTCACAATAACGTCAAAGGTGATGGCCTTAAGTTTTGAAGGTTTTCTGAAATCGTTACCAGCCAGTATGCCGAACGACCTGAAGACGATAATCATGAACTTGCGCGAGAAACATCCTCAAGAGTTCGGTCTTTTAGAAACTACTGATCATGGAACTGAGACGCCCATGTATCATAGAGACAATGACCTCAACGTTATGTTTATGAAGCCTACAAACATAAAACCAGGTATTCAGTACAGTGCGCCTGTCGCACCAATAGTCAACATTTTAAGGACTGAAGAGCCAGTAGCAAATAATTGCAGTAGTAGACCTGTACAAACTGAGAACCCGGTCACAACTCTACAACCACCAACTGCAAAGTTGCCTGACGAGGGATGTCAAACACCAAGGATACCGCTACCGCAGATACCAGCTCCAATAATGCCAATAGCGATTCCTGTGTACCCGAGAATGCCCATCATAGTACCAGCGAGGACATTCTTCGAACCAGTGAGACACGACCACCCACCATTATACAAGATAAAACAGATGATAGAAAGAGATGAAAAGAAATGGAAGAAAGAGAACAAAGGGAAGAATTGTGATATTTCCTTGGAGTTAGCTTATAGTGATGCGGACAGTTCATCGAGTACGGATACTGAGTCCGAATCTAGGAATATAGATGTTGGTCCAGAGTATTACGATGGCTTTTTAAAAATTAATGTGTGAATGAAGGCAGAAAATGTACATCAATTTGTCAGTACTTATTTTTCTACTACAAAATCTTACGTAGTTAGTATTTTTGTACCATTTGTAATTTTGTAAACTTCTTCAGTAAATAATTAATTATTATAATAAAATAAGGCTTTATTTCCCTATCATAGTCCAAGTAACAACTATGTAGGTACTATTATGTTCCATAGTTGCGAATTAAACCCACTCAAGTTTTACGTCGAATAATGTAATTCAAATTAAATGTGTTGAGGTCTGATAACAATCATTAATTGACGGATTATGTACCTGACTGTCATATAATTCATAATTATTCAACTAGATTGTAAGATAACTAGGTGTTGTGATAATAACCAACATTAAATAATTTTTTATCTTAGTAAAATATATACTTAAGAAAAATACAGTGATATTTGAAAATAATATCCAACCAAAAATATTCCAACAAAACCTCGATGGAACCGCTCGTTCATCTCTAAAATGTAATAAAATCTAGACAAAGTCTTAGGATCCTAACTGCGATTTCTTTATTATTATAGTTAATGTTGTGTGACTTGGCCGTTCACGGCTACACAAGGATGCAAAACCAGGTGCAAGACACCATTGCACCAATCTGTTGCATTTACAGCACACACTTATTGGAGATATGGACAACAGTTTACTGTAAATTTTCAGAGACCTAACAATAATTTGTTAGAGGCCTTCAGTGGTCTCACCAGCGTGGTCAATATTTCGACATTTTTTGTTATCATCTTTAAGCGTAAATAAATTTAAACCGTATCGTTTCGATCAAAGACAAACATAGTAGAAGAATAACCTTAACCTTAACCTTTATTGTAATTAATATAAATAGTTTTGTATCTATCTTATACTATTATATAGAGTTTGTTTTTTTGTTTGTTTGTTTGAACGCGCTAATCTCCGTAACTACAAGTCTGATTTGAATAATTCTTCTTGTGTTGGATAGCGCATTTATCGAGGATGGCTATAGGCTATAAAACATCACGCTACGACCAATAGGAGCTGAGCAGAACGTGTGAAACCGTGCGGAAGTAGCTATTATAATATAAAAATGAAACCCGTTTCCCGTTGTCACGCCATAACTTGAGAACGGATAGACCGATTTGTTTGATTTTCTTTTTGTTGTGTTTGTTATTGTCAGGAGAAGGTTCTCATAACAGAAAAATTCTTGAAAATCCTACGGGAATGGGAGAAAACGGGATTGCGCGTACGAAGTCGTGGGCAGAAGCTAGTTTATAAGTATAAGTATAGTTTATTATTTCGAGAGAAATATGAGTATGACGTCGAATTTAAAAAAGCTATTAGTAATTTCTTTAAATTTTAATTGATTTTTATACTTTGGGGTCACGGTTCTATCATATTCATATTCATATTCATATTCATTTAATCATTTGCAAACATGGGTACATAATATATAGGTGTTAACAAAGTTTATAGTTTCTCCATATTTTGCCTTAACTTGGCATGCAAAGATATGTTATAAAAATAATTACTATCGATCAAATACTATCGATGTATAATTTTAAATTATACGTGTACACAAATACTATTGCGGTTCTATTTTTATGCACTAAATCAAATACAAGGTCAGCACACAAATTATACGTTAATTATAGTCTCTATTTCTAGAAATAGAAAATGCTAATAACATAACATAACATCACGCCTTTTATTCCCGTAGGTACCCCTACGGGAATAAAAGGCAGAGGTGCACATTATGCCACTGTACAATGTAACACCCACTTTCCACTATTTTATGTATATTATGAGTCCCATGTAATAGGGGATGAGCCTATTGCAGTATACTGGGTACAATTCCAGACTCCGTGCTTACTACGGGGAATTTTTTAAAACCCAGTAAACTTTGCCCGACCTGGGAATCGAACCCGAGGCCCCTTGCCCGGTACTCGCCCTTGCGACCATGATACGTTTATTTTATAACGGCTTTAAAATATCTAAACTGTCATTGCTTTCTAGTTTTTATTTTGTTTTGGTTGTAATCTATAAAAAAAATATTAGGTACCTTAGTAAATTTTTTAATTCACAAAAAATAAAAATCGGTAGATTTTTTCAAGTGGTTTATTCTTAAATCTAGTATTTACATAATTGCCACACCTTATTTGTAAGGAACAAATTACCTCAAGTAACTTTATTTCAACGTAAATGAAAATATAAATAAACAAATATACTTATTTGTTTCTACTTATCTAATGACAGTTGCGGTTACAAAATGGCGTCGCATTTACTGACATCTGTCAGAGTAGTTTGAGACGTGGTGTACGGAGTAGTCTTTGTGTATAAAATTATTATACACAAATATACTATCAAGCGTCAAAGAACCAAGTGATAAAAAGATAATTACGTAGATAGTTTTGAGTTTTATTTTCATAAGAAAACTATAATTACTATAACTTTGTACTTTGTACTCGATGGAATAACGTTTTAATTGACCACATAATATTTCGATGACATATAAATACTACTCAGTACGTCAGTATTTAAGAATTCCATTCGTTCAGTCTAAAATAAGATTAATTCTAAGATGAATATACAATTATAACCATTTATTATTTTCCATTAAAACAAATGTAACTACAATTTGGAAGACACCGAAAAAAATATGACGTATTTTACAATTATGTTTTCGAAAAATTCGTTTGAGTTCCAAATACAATGAATGTCATTTACCTACCTTAGTCAGGTCAGTCACTTCGACTTTTTGTACCATATTTTGCATTCAATTTAAAAAAATCACCTTCAAACATGTCTTTTATTTTGGTATAAGTGGAAGTTCAGCTTTTAATTTTGCTTGTATATCAACTGTTTCGAATACTATAGTCCTGGTTTTTGACATCCAGTTGAGATACTGAAGTCGCGCTGCATACGTGACCAGGAGTGTGCCTATCAGAGCTGATAGTATCTGAAGAGCTATTACGATGTAAGGAGCCAGTTGGTAGACCAGCACCAATTTGCTGAGCGTCCATTCTGTTAGCTTTGGCTGGTTCTGGAACAAGACACGTGATAGTGCAATAAATGTTGTTAAGTGAAACAAATTGATGAAGTTATTACTGATTAGACTAGACAGCAAGTATGGTGGCCAGTAGAACAACCTATCCTTTTCTGTCAAATTACAACTTCAAATCTATCGTATTGACATAAAGTCGAAAATGCAATGAATGACAGATTGGAGGAGCTTGATCAACTGGCCACTACTACTCCAGACTCCGTACTAAACTTACACAGAGTTACTTAGGAGGAAGTTTTTACACTCAGTATATAATTTATAACACATAATAAAAGGTTAGTAAAAAATACAAAAAAGAATTGTTAAATAATGACGATGACGTGGCTAAGCAGTATAATAAACTCATCAAATTATAAATTAGACAATGGTATAATATTCATATCTAATCATATGTTTAAGTGTCAATTTACTAAAAATACTTTTTATTATATTACAAGTATATAATTCTGAATAATACATGACTGTGTGTAAGCAAGCACGTAATTATAAAACTGTAATACAATAAAAATGAAATGCACAGTATGTCTATCAATATATATATATATATTTTTTTAAGGGGGGAAAATCATCGAATGACTGCTCCCGCCTGGGTGAGGCGGGAGGGAGTGTCAGACTCTTACTGACTAAAAACCACCCCGTTCCTTCTCCTGCACGTCGAGCCGGAGCCCCGGTTACCCGTTAGGTTCTCCGCGACTCCGAATCGGCATCGGCCCTATTGGGCCCCATCTGTGGTGGTCTGATGGCTCTTTGAGGCGCGCGCGGAACGCGACGCGCCGTACGCTCGGGTCTGTTTCTGGTCGGACGGGGAGCCACCCATGCTCGCCGTCCGCAGGCCCGCGCTTACGGTGGCCGGAGATCGTCCCGCGATCCCCGACGCCCGGTGTGTCCTTCGCGATGGCTGGGTTGCGAGGAGGCAGCGCTTCGCTGCCTCACGCGTCCCGCCTCCTCCTTAGCTAGCATGACTGCTTCGCAAAAGGAGGAGACGGCATCCCAATCCCCCTCGCTCCGCATCATGGCCTGCACTAGGCCCGGACGCGAGAGGTCGCCATCGCCGATCACTTCCCTGAGGACACGGCGGTGCTCAGCCCACGAAGGGCATTCTCCCACCGTGTGTTCCACCGTGTCCTCAGGGCGGTCCTCGCAGTGATGACACCCGGGCGTTTCCTCCCGCCCCATCAGACACAGGTACCTCCCGAAACTTCCATGTCCGGTGAGGACCTGCGTCAGGCGGTAGGTGAGGACGCCGTAGCGTCTCTCAAGCCACTCCTCAAAGAGGGGACTTATCGCTGCAATGGCAGCGAGCCCAGCCCTCGGTTGCGACAGTCGTTGCTGCCATTCCGCCATGAGATCGCGCCGGAGCTCTTCCCGCCACGCTCTTATCTGGTGCGGCAGCGGAGTTTCGCCTCGGCGATGTGCCTCCACGCGCATGTGATACATGCGCGCGAGCACCTTCGCCTCCAGATCCCACGGCGGTAATCCGGCAAGGAGGTTCGCTGACTCCCCGAAGATCGTGCGGTATCCGCGGATCATTTGGATCGCCATAACCCTCTGTGCCATGAGCAGCGCCCGAGCGGGCCGCCGCATCAAGTTCAGCGCCCACACAGGGGCGCCGTAGAGGGCCATGGACCGCATGACCTCGGTGTATAACCTCCGGCAGGAGGCGTTTGGCCCCCCGAGGTTGGGGAGGATGCGCTTGAACGCAGCCCCCGTCCTCTCCAACTTTGGAGCCAAACGTCGGAAGTGCTCCACGAAGTTCCACAGGCTGTCGAGGACGAGTCCTAGGTACTTCATCGCCGTCTCGACGCCGATGGTAACCCCTCCCGCCGTTATTTGGGACCCACCCGGAGGTGGCGCGTTCCCGCGGCCATGAAAACACATGGCCTCGGACTTGTGGGGCGCCACCTCGAATCCCAATTGCCGGATTCTCTCAACGACTGTCGCAACCGCTGTCGCCATTAAGTCGGCCGCCGCCTGGTGCGACCTCCCGTGCGCTAGCACCAGCATGTCGTCGGCGTAGCATGTCATGCTAACGTCGCTTGGGAGGTCGGAGCGCAGCACCCAGTCATACCCGATGTTCGCGATGTAGGAGCGGCCCCAGAACCGATCCCTGCGGAACACCGCGCGACATCTATCGCCGATTCCATTCGCCCCGGTGACCGGAGTATATGACAGATCTACCGGTCAGGTAGGCCTCGAAGACAAACACGCTACGGCGTCCTTACCTACCGCCTGACGCAGGTGCTTACCGGATACGAAAGTTTCGGGAGGTTCCTGTTTCGGATTGGGTGGGAGAAAACGCTCAGGTGTCATCATTGCGAGGGCCGCCCAGAGTACACGGTGGAGCATGCCGTGGCAGTGTGCCCTGCATGGGCTGAACACCGCCGTGTCCTGAGGAATGTAATCGGGGCGACGGCGACCTCTCGCGTCCGACACTGGTTCAGACCATGGTACGGAGCGAGCGAGACTAGGATGCCGTCTCCTCCTTCTGCGAAACAGTCCTGCTAGCTAAGGAGGAGGCGGAGCTCGTGAGGGAACGAGCCTTCTCACGCTCCAGCCGTCATGAGTGACACTCCAGGCGTCGAGGATCACGAAACGTCTCCGGCCACCGTAAGCACGGGCCTGCGGTCGGCGAGCACGGATGACTCGCCGCCCGATCAGAACCAGACCCGAGCGTACGGCGCGTCGCGTTCCGCATACGCTCCAAGGAGCCATCAGACCACCACAGATAGGGCTTATGCCGATACGGAGCCGCGGAGGACTTAACGGGTGACCGGGGCTTCGGCTCGAAGTGCAGGAGTAGGAACGGGGTGGTTTTTAGTTAGTAAGAGTCTGAAACTCCCTCTCGCCTCACCCACGCGGCCGCCGGCGGCCGGCGGGAGAAGGCATTGGATGATATTTCTCTTATTTGATTGAGTGAGCTGCGCGACGTCGCCGCGACCGCACACGCTGCTCATGAGGAAGAACCCCTCTGTGGTTCGAAACTAGTAGAGCTTTTCTCAGTATATTCACGTGAGTAACCCGCGTTTTTACTTAATTATGATATTTCTCCCTCAAAAAAAAGGTATCATGTAAGATCACCTAGCTGTTGAACGTCAGTATATTGCTGTCGAACGTCCGTATATAGCTATTGGGCGTCCGTATATAGCTATTGAACGTCCGTATATAGCTATTGGGCGTCCGTATATAGCTATTGAACGTCCACGTATAGCTATTGTGCGTCCGTAATAAGTAAATAAGATAATAAGAATATATCTTATTACTAGAATGTTTTAATTATCTCATAAATAGTGAAAAGTGTATATTACATTGTACAGTGGCATTAAGTGCCTTAATGTGCACCTCTGCTTACCCCTTCGGGGATAAAAGGCGTGATGTTATGTTTAATATGGATATCACTTTTATTCAAGTGTTTATGTTTTATAATCAAAAACATTTATAATTCCTAATTGAATCTTTATAACACGCCGAGGAAAATAATAAAAAGACAAACGTTGATTGGTTTTATCAGTAATACTATACAACATTCATTAATTATTCAGTGTTATATGCACCTTCTAACCACAAAAATAGATAAAGTTAATAAAATTACGTCAAAATTTATACGGAAACTATACTATACGAGTTAAACTCTGGTTAACCTTTTTTTGTGGTAAGACATATAATTTTGTCACTTTAGTACTTATTTCTAAGATCCCATTAAGTAGTTAATTTATACCCTCATCTGTTATATATCAGTGATAGGTACTCATTGACAAATTGAGAACAGGATTGCAGATAAGTTGTCGTAAGTTGCACTGACATGTATTAAAATGTAAATAAATCTAATTGAATAAAATCGGACTCCAAATAATACGCAACACATCCGAATCTACGACGGTGAATATTGTTTCGAATGCGGTAGATAATATTATGATCTATTGAGACAGATTTAATGAGCGAACTGGCAACGTCGCTGTTATTTTTTTTGAGGACGCCAAATAGGCGGAATTATAGTCAGAAAATCCCAAAAATATACAGCTGTGGATATACGCGCTACAGCAGCGCTCTAGCCGCGCTGAGATTTCTTTGGGAACTTTTCAAAATACTATAACAGCCATTGAACCGATCTTTTGGCCTCTGTCGATTTTTAACCTACGTGTAGCCAGGACCAAAAGGACCTAAGTAGCATAGACCAAAAAAGTGGCGTCCGGTATGCGGACGCCAAAAGCAGGTGGACGCCAGATTAAATGCACTTTTGCCTTCATGGGACGTCCAATCGATAGCGGGATGTAAATATATATATATATATATATATATATATATATATATATATACATCTAATTGGTTGCTACCTGGAGATTGTGATAAAAATCTAAACAATTATAATAATTCTTTAATCCCATTATATACTTGTGATGTGACGACCTCGTTAGAAGTCAACCATAATAGTGACCACTGACATGTTTTTGCAATTGTATCATCTCATGAGTATTTAATCACTAAGTTGAAACTAATTTATCAAATTATTTCAAACGACATTTGTCTAACTATATTTATGGCAGAATTTTTATTGTGAATTTTTTCATTCTTGTGGTCTACAACCAGCATCCTCTAACAGTGTTCTAACTGCGGTTACTAAATCGTCTACCAAGGCCCATTTTGGCAGAAGTATTCCGACTGATGCTGATAATAAATTAAGTAAAGAATCTTTGGGTAATGAATTGGGTCTCCGGTAACTTCAGTCTCACTCACAGGATGAAACGCAACGCATGCGTTGTTTCACGTCGGTTTTCTGCTCGGCCGTGGTATCACTCCGGTCAAGCTTGCCCATTCGTGCCGAAGCATGGCTCTCCCTTACTATTTAAGCTGCAGCGTCGGTCAACTGACTATCCGTACTAGCCGTACCGCAAGGTTCATGGGTACCGACAGCAGTTTAATTAGCAGAGATTCAGATGAAAGTTTGTAGGTAATGAATTAAAACCACAAATAAATGATTAAAGATTTTATGAGCAATAATTTTTTCAAGGCAACAGTTGCATTTAATGCACTACCGTATGCAGGTAATACAATAAAGAGAGCAAGGTTTTGGGATCAAGTTCCGGGGTTATTTTGGAATCATAACACACTGAGAAAAATAATGTTAAAAAACTGACATTGTAGCCACTATACATATGTATATGACGAAGTTTATGGAAGAAAAAACCCATTCAATGTCATTTATAAAGAGTTTTTTCAACTCAATAATTAAACGCCCGAATACTAGGCTACTACTAAATTTTAAGTAATACTTAAATATCGTGCCATCTCTGTAATTTTACAAAGAATTTGTAGAGACAGAATTAGTATACTTAAGCGCACTTAAGCGCTTGAATTTGAGTGGCGTTTGAGTATTTGGACATAAATCCCCTATCCAAATTTCAAATCTGTTTGCTATTTTTCTATCGTGTGCTTATTTAAAAACTACCTCTAAGACTTGTCGCTGTGTGAAACTGAATCTTTTTAATCATGTCTGTTAATAATATTCGTGAATATCCATTTTAATGGGGGTTTCCCAAGACTATATTGGCCTATATGGACGCCAATATATCTTGCTTTATTTATTTTTTTACATAACATAATATATCATAACATCACGCCTTTTTATCCCCGAAGGGGTGGGCTTACACTTAATGCCACTGTACAATGTAACACTCACTTTTCACTATTTATGTTATGAGTCCCATGTAATAGGGAGTGAGCCTATTGCCATATATCGGGCACAATTCAAGACTCCGTGCTACTACTAAGATTTTTAAAAACCCACTTGCGACCACTCGGCCAACGAGGCATTTTTTTAAACTTATGTATTCATCATATAATTGTCAAGGTTTTTGAATTGAAAGGAACATTCAATCATATTTTACGGCCATTCAAAGTCAAAGTCAAGTATTTGTGTCTGGACTATAAAAGACATGAATGGTTGTATCTGGTAACTTACTACTTCGATACGGATGACAGGTACCACAGCATGGGACAGCATTTTGGACTGCCAGTTGAAGTCGAGGTCACCTAGCATCATCGTCAGCTGGATGGACATCTTCGTGTTGTACATTACGCCCACCTTCTGTGTGGAGATCAGATATTTTCAAATTAGGAACATGTTTAATCCTTAGAGTACCAAGTCAGTCACTTATGCCTGAAACCAGTAAATGTTTCACTTTCACCATAAACGCCCGCTTCTCATGCACGAGGATGCGGGTTGGAAACGTACCAACGGCAAGTACCAATGTGGCTTTTTACGAGTTAAATGTACTTTCTAAGATTATTTAGACACCACTGACAAACATCAGTCAGTCACAGTGGTGAAGGAAAACATATCGTGAGGAAACCTGGGCTAAAATTTCTAATTATAAATTTGAAATTGCTAACTCGCATTGAGGAAGCGTAGTGATTAATACTCTAATCTAATCTTGAAGATTTTTTTTAAGTGGGGAAAATCATCGAATGACTTCTCCCGCCTGGGTGAGGCGGAAGGGTGTGTCAGACTCTTACTCTCGATGGGTTTACTATCTTACTCAGACTTTCGAAGAATAAATTCACTTGTTTATCTTGTTTCAATAATCGAAGCTTGTAGTTAACTGTCTATACAATATGTATTTTGTTTTTTTACTTATAATCGTAGGTGTACCTGCTAGTATTATTGATAGTACAGGTACTATAAAATTATTTATTCTTTATTAAAATGTATTTCTCATAGCTTATTGTTCTTTTATCTTGTACCTGCTAGTGGTCCGCAGGACCTATACACAACAATATTATTACCAGATTTTTTGTTTTTCGCAGTCTCAGGGTCCTCGCCTCTCTATTTTGAGTGTATTTACTCAAGGTTTGTATCTATTAAGTCATAAACTAGCTGTTACCCTACTAGAAGTTGGTCTTGACTCTTGTCATCATAACTTTTTATAATAAAATAGACAGAGGTACACATTACTGCACTTAATGTCTCTATACAATGTAAAACCCAATTTCACTATTTATGTTATGTAATAGAATGTGAGCCTATTACCATATACCGGTCACAATTCCAGACTACGTGCAACTACTGAGATTTTTTTAAAAACCCAGTAATACTTTGCCCACCCGGGCGTCTAACTCGAAACTTCTTGCCAGGCAGTCTTTTCTCTTTATAATAATAATGAGAATTTTTAGGTAGTGGAACTTATATGAAAGATTTATATCAGATTTTGCACTGGTAGATCGTAGCAGCTCTGTTTAATTTGAGTGGAGCGAATGTATAGAGGAATTACTATGGTAATTAAAATGATGGCACTACTAATTAAATAGTTTTTATAGTTCGTGACGTATTTGTCAGGTCTTTGGTGTTACAAGTATACTGGTTACGGTTGACTAGTTGTACCACGGATTTCACTGTGTTTTTACAATAGTACACTTGGGGACAAAAACGGAGCCACACCCCTCTGTAACTTTAAAAATATTCCTTTTATAATATAACTAGCTACTTCCGTGCGGTTCCACACGCTCTGCTCAGCTCCTATTGGTCGTAGCGTGATGTTTTATAGCCTATAGCCATCCTTGATAAATGCGCTATCCAACACAAAAATAATTATTCAAACCAGACTTGTAGTTACGGAGAGTAGCGCGTTCAAACAAACAAACAAAAAAAAAACAAATTCTTCCGCTTTATATAATAGTCTTAGAGGAAAATCCTTCTTAGAGGAAAATCCTTTTCAGCCTAGTACATTTGTGCGATGACGTCAGCTGGAAGGGATGACATGAGTGACACGAGAACGGAGCAGTGCTATGTAGCCGTTCACCTTTTTGCGTTGGCGCTCGGACGATACGGTGGTGTGGTTGTTCTCTCAAGGGCTATTTTGCAACATTGGTGACCGCTAGTCTGAATTTTAGTTATTTGTAGTTTTGTTACTTTTAGTTCTTGTTTAGGTTATTTTGCTAATGTTAAGATTGTAATTAAAGAGAGGTTAGGACTGTCAGTGTGTTTCTTTTTAAAAAACTTTATTTGATAGACGTTTCTAAGAATAGTATAACATAACATTAGGATTTCCCCATATGGTAATCAGACGCGCTCAAGTAACCACCGAAATCACCGAAAATTTATTTAGAAATGGAAAAGGAAAAACGCTACTTGTGTTCGTTTGTTTGCTCTTAAGTGTACTTTTAATTATAATTGATTATTATATCGAGGGGTAACGGGCTATTTGGTTTAAGCGACATTTTTGCAACTTTACAGGAGAGCCTTTTAAAGTTTGAAATTTCGAAAAAAAATTCATAACAAAAACGCTTCTGCAGTTATTTGAACGGGGTAAATTGCATTGAAATTTAAATAAAAATATCTAGTTGCTGATGCTAATTCCAAATAAAGCGGACCTTTAATTACAAAGATAAATGTCGCTTAATACAATCTGCCCTTTTTTAGAGTCAGGAAAAATGATTTAAGTGACTTCATAACTACAATTGGCTACAAGGGAAAAAAATTAAGCGACGATGCACTCTATTTACAGAGTAAGCCAAAAAGTATGAAGTAACGAAACCCAAAATAAATAGAAGCAAGCTATTTATCTCAACTACCAATTTAGACTAAAATGAGTAACAGGCTAATTTACTTATGTGACATATAACATTGAAATTGTATCGTTAAATGTTTATGTTTATTTACATCTAAGACGATTAATGGCTGATAAAACAACCTGGATATATCGAAACAACCGAAAATCTCAGGTGCTTACATCGGATAAATAAACACAACACAATATCAAAGTATTTATTTAGATTAATAATAACAGTCTGCATAGGAACAACGATTATATTATTATTTATTCAGCAAAATCAGATAAATTAATGGGTTATTTACTGAAATTGCCGTTTTGTATGAAAAAATTTAAACGATTTTTTTCATGTATTTTTTATTTGTATTTATCGAAGTAATCACCCATGTAATCAATGCATCGTTGCCAACGCAGTGGCAGTTTATTGGGCATCAATAAACTGCCACAAAATACTTCTTAAACAAATCAGCTGGACGGGTGGCAACAAATTCTTTAAATGCATTTTGTACTGCCTCTCGGGTAATGAATTTTTTTCCCGCGAAGAAGTTATTCAAATTCTGGAAAAGAAGTAGTCTGGTGAGTAGGGTGGATATTGGAGAGCTTCCAACCCCAGTTCTTGTAACTTGGAGACCATCTGTTGTGCAGCTTTAGGTCGCGCGTTGTAATGCAGGAGCAATGGAGATGAGCGATTGACCAGTGCTGGTTGGAGATGTGTCAGCTTCTCCATCATTGTGTTCAGTTCTTCACATTACACATCCGCAGTAATGCTCACTCCGTTTGGTAAGAACCTGTGATGAATCAGACTGGCGCTAGACCATCAGTGACCATCACTTTTCTAGGAGTAAGTTTTCGTTTCGGGTATTGTTTAGGTGCTGAACTAACTACTACTACAACTATGTTGAGCAGTGCAAGGCACTGCTCGATGCATACTTAGCTCTGGCGATCATTGAGTTTGTGGGACACCCACTTGTCAAGTTTTTTTACCTTGCCAATTTGACGTAAATGGACCAATATTGTTTTGATGCTAACGTCGAAAGCTGTTGCTAAATCAGCCGTAGATTGTATGTCATCAGCTTCCACAATAGCCTATTGTCACCAAAGTCTTCGGACGACCGCGAGGTTGATCTTGAAATTAAAGTACTTAGGATTCAATTTCGATGAGCGTTTTACGTAAACACTGGCGGTGAGTGCGCGTCCCGTCTGTCTTCGACGCATTCTGGAGTGACTGAAGCGCCAGCGCACGATAGTCCAGTTGGATGATCACGATTTTTAACACCCGGGCGATGAAATAAATATAGTATCATATGACATGATTGAAATGTACCATATTAAAATTTAGTGATTTAAAGACCGATTCATATTTTTATGAATACTGGCAAAATGTTTCAATATCCATTATTAATGTTATCATCTGTATAAAACGACATGCATTTTAAAAAAAAGGAGGGCTAAATGATTTATGACTAAACAAAATATCTGAACGAAAACGACTATTTGGTTTAAGTAGCACCCTGCGTGGAAAATAAAAGCAGCTAGAAGTGTTTAAGAGACGAACCATGTCGTATTTGGGTGACGGATAAATGTTTTAAGCGACAACACACCGTGTGATTAGTGGGAAGTCAAAATGATTCAAGTTACTTGCTAGTAAAAATTAGAAACAGGAAAAACGCTTTAACTCATTTTGACTTATTAATTAGAGATAGGGTGACTGGTTTATGTCTCGGTTATTAATATGATGGTATGGTTCAAGTACATAATTTAATAAAAAATGCGAAATCCATGTCGTTTAATACACTGTCACTTTGGAAACAACACGAAAATAGAATTGTTTGAAACGCCAAAAAAGTGCTCCGATTTTAATGAAACCGGCATCAATCGACGGAGAAAAATTCGCTGATTCCGAATATATATATAACTCAATATCGCCCAAAATGTCGCTTAAACCAAATAGCCCGTTACCCCTCGATATATAATTGATTAATTAAGATTTGTGTGACGGATTGCCTTAGATGGCAGATTAAGGGTTGATCATGATGTTGATGATGATGATACAATGGCTAGCTATTATAGTTACCTTATACAATTCACAGAATTTGAAAATAATGAAGGATTTATATTACAGCTCAATAACTCACTTTGTCAATGATAATTGTAGTGTCGTCTAGGTCTCTGTTTGGCGTGATCCCCTCAATCCGTTCATACAGCTTGGGGTCGCTGTCCAGGAAATGTGCTTTAGATATCACAAATGGTAGACCTGTGGAAATATGAAAACTTATCTCAAAAATAGTTACAAGTTTATAATTAAGAGCTGAACATTAGAATGTAACTTAGATGAAGATAGTATTGTTGGAGATTCTATCTAATAATAGTATGACAATGAATGTACGAAACACGTTTACATATAAATTCATTATACGAACAAGGATTCTATTAAACTAGCTGTGCCCGCGACTTCGTCCGCATGGAATAGTGATTTACAGCTCCTCCTCCGTAGTTGATATTATGTAGCCTATATATATTATGCTGACCTGACCTATTAGTACTATTCGTGAAAAAAATTTGTATGATTTCATTATATGTAGGTATGTAGATTAATAATAACCTAACATCCTTTAAGAAATCAAAGAAAATACCAAGTTCGGTAATGTCCTATCAGTATATAGAACGCTGAAATAGCGTTGGACAGGACATATGCTGAGAGAGGAGAGAGAGAAATGGACCAGAATAATTACGGAATGGTACCCTAGAGACCGCAGGAGAACTAGAGGAAGACAGTATAAACGATGGGAAGACGACTTGAAACGAGTAGCAGGGCCAGAATGGTTACGTGTAGCAAAGGACAGAAACAAGTGAAAATCCTTAGAGGAGGCCTTTGTCGAAAGACAAGCTGTTGTAAGAGGAGAGAAACCAATTGCTGAGATAATGTTAGAGTAGTTTTTAAGTTTGTTTATTTAACTCTGTTACAACTTTGGTTACAACTGTAATTCTTGTTATTGTAACTACAGCAATAAAGGCTTATTTTATTTTATTTAAAATTTAACATCCTTTTAATAAGTCGAAGGATGCCGCAAATGCATGTATTAGAAGTGAAATTATTATTATATTAACATGTCACATTTTAATTCTTTTAGAAGTGAATTAATATTCCAATATCAATGTCAATATCACGAGACAAGGTCGCCCAGGTTTACTTTAAATTGTGGCACAAACCAGCATTCACATTATGTTGAGCAGAATCACCAGAAACAATATCCCGAGTGCATACTACCAAGCATGAATAATTAATGTATGTACAACCGGTTAATACAAGTTTTTCGAAATGTTTATAATGTCGATCAAAAGATCCAATCAATCTTGCATAAGTTGTAGCAAGAAAGAATTTGAATTAAGTACTTTGAAACTAATAATTATAGAAAAGGAATTGTTAGGTAGTACTAGGTATTCTAGATGTACTCTTCATTCTATAAAGTCCTTGATGTCAAACCGAAAACCACATTGAAATTGTCACTCATAACACGAAATTGAATTGGTTATATACCGTTCAGCGTGCCTCCACCTTCTCATTCCCGATTCTTGGGACTCGCATACCTATCTATTAACGACAAAACCTATATATTAAAAACCAAATTTTAAAAATAGTTTCAAGGGCCAATGTTAATTTTGTTTAAAATTCAAAGTATTTTTTTTATGGAATAGAAGGCAAACGAGCAGACGAATCACCTGATGGTAAGCGATCAGCGCCGCCCATGGACACCAGCAACTATTTAGTATTTGGAAATTATTGACTTTTCTTTGTAATATTGGTAATGCTGAATTATGTACGGAACAAAATATTCACCACCACGTCCTCAGTGGCACATCGTCATCCTATGAGTAATTTATTTTCATAATTACTGTCCTATGTCGTTAATATGCCAAATTATCTCATTCTTTGTAACTGGTTTATCGACGTACACCATTTATATCTAACTAGCTTTTACCCGCAGCTTCGCTCGCGTCACAAAAGGATAAAAAGTAGCCTTTGTGACATACACCAATACACACAGCGCCATCTATACCAATTCTTTTGTTTTCCCTCGGGAATATCAAATTTGTCCCGGTAAAAAAGTACCCTTTTATTTAATCCGGACTTCTAACTTTACGTCTGCAAAATTACAAAGCAATCGGTTTAGTAGTAACGGCGTGAAAGCGGAACAAACAAAAAAACAAACTCACTTTCCGATTTATAATATTAGTAAGGATAACCCTAAAAAATAAGGCGAACGGTGTCAAATCATATTATTATGATCTTGGCGGCTAAGTCGCGACGTGAGATTATTCAGTCATCAAATTTCAATGAAATGGCCGCTTGAAATAGTCAAGAGGCTTTAGTTATTGAGTCAATTGAACTTTGTAAGCGTGTAATATTCATAAACGCAAGCGCAATAGACGACGAGTTGAGGAGGTCAGCTCTTCAGCCACACTTTCGTGAACAGCAGCATTATTTTTTGCAATACGAACTGTACGAACATGCTCTGGTGTTTTGACAACTCTTACAGACCCAGTTGACTCAAATTTTTGCACGATTGTACGCACATTTGAACGATTAAATTGAAATTTACGTAATGTATGATATGCATTTTGATTTCAACGCTTACTTACATAATTTTTCATTATATACCTAATTAGATTATACGCGGTGCTCGATGGTTCGCATTAAGTTAGACTAAATCAAATGTCAAATGAAATCTTGACGTTTAGATATGGTTCACATTCAACATCAGCTCTTAATATTTAACCACTAGTTGCAAACAACATACCAAAAGCACAATCAGATATATCCAAAACTCCACTAGGATAAGGTTTCTTGTTAAGGGGGTTGACACTGGCGCCGAACGTCTCATTACTGATGGTGTAAATAAAGGCCTCGCCACCATAGTGCATGTTCCTGGTCTCCAAGTATTGAAGGTTAAAGGTCTTGCAGATGCCCAGCCGGTACCAGTTAATGGGCACGTCTGGAGTCAACATGGGTGGGTATATTGCTCCCTCGTAGGTGTCCTTTTCAAATATTTGCTCACTGCAAGATGTGGTGCTGTATTAGATGGTTATTTGGTGTTTGGTAAGACTTAACAGTCTTCTTCTTGATAGAGTTTGTAACTCTTCTTTTATTTAATTATTTTAAGACTGGGACAATGCTGTATCCGATGGATAATGTGCAAGACTTTTATATAACTTGGGACAGAGAAATGATCGATTAAAATGCTTTTGAATGAATTCTATTTAAGAAACCATTCAAAACCACCCATAAAAAATTAAGTGACATTCACTTCTCCAAGATTGAAATCTCAATTATACGGGTAGGTAAAGGTTTTAGATAGATAAATGCTATGTTATATACCTTACATCAACGTCTTTGATGGTCCCCAGCTCAATGTGTCTGAACTTCTTCACAGATTTGATCTTGAATCTATCCTCATTGGTAGCTCCCACCACTATTCTGTATTCCGACTCATTTTCGTAAAGCTAAAACACATTTATTTTTTATTAACCTGTTCATATTTTAAGAAGTGAATAACTGTGCAAATGCGTATCATAGTGGCTTTTTTATGGATTGTCTATCGCACCTTTACCAGCATTTAACAATCAAATCAAGAAATCTAATTTATTCAAAATGGTTATCTTTTCTTTATAAGTCATTATTCTGTTTTCTTCCATCACTATATGATTTCTTACCCTTTTAAGTAGACCAAAATCATCAAAATACACGAATCCAGGAGCTAAACTGTTGCAGATTTGTAGGACCCGGCTTTCGAAGCCGTTCAGATACCTGTCGCCGTCCAACTGCATAAAGGCTTTCTCTCCCAACGGACCCACCACCATGTTGAAGGCAGTGCGTATGAAACTTGGATAATTGGAAATAAGCGATGCTCCACTCTGGAAGATTAAAAGAATATAGATTTTGATGACTAATGGCTGGTTGAAAAGATGACCTGATTGGTAGATAAAATGGAGAAGGTCATTAAATACACTGCGTTAAAACCATACTGGTGAAACGACTGGGTGGAAGTCTATTAAATATAATTTGTAATACTTATAACAATCTGGGTGTGATTCACTACAAACACTGTATCTATGCTAAGACCAACGCGGAAGACTTAACAGGTTGCCGGGGCTCCGGCTCCAAGGGCAGGTGTAGAACCGACGTGGTTTCTAGTCAGTAAGAGTCTGACACTCCCCCCGCCTCATCCAGATGGTAGAAGTCATTCGATGATTTTTCCCCCCTTAAAAAATGCTATGACTAATAACAAAATAAACCCTCGTAAAGAGGAACTTACAAGAAATGGTAGATTAGGTACAGTAAGCATGACATCCTTGGGGTGGGCTATGGAAGCCTCGGGGATGAACTCTATTCTGACCTTGGGGGTCATTCCCAACTCCTTGCCATCCTCACTCAACACCACATCTACGTACCAGCGATATTCTCTGCAAATGAACAACAAATTAGAATCAAATCTTATTATTATTACAACTGGGTTTCTCGCTCAAATGGAATTAAAAAAAAACTCTTATAGGATCCGATCCGAATATTTTAATCACTGGCTTTTGCAGCTTTTCCATTCCACGAAGAACTGCAAAAATTGTCTTCTAAGTCCTCTAGGGAACTAACTAAACTATAATTTTCTAATAATCAATAAAGGTATGACTTACTGGAACACGAAAGGTCCAACCTCTTCAACCTTGAGTTTATCATCTTCTCCAGAGAGGAACCTGTCAGCATTGGTGACGTTGAACAAGTAGATGGAGAGCTCTGCTACTGGCATCTCATCCTGCACCAGCTCATATACTATGCTGCCGTTGGCTACTCGAAGTAACTGGAGAGAAATCGTACAGTATAATCTATTGACATCGGACAAAGGAATTAAAGAAAAGAAGAAAAAACGATTATTTCATATGTTGAAAGTTATAAACGTTTATACAAGTTACATTATAAGTACTTATGGGTAAATGTTCATGTGCGAAATGGGACTAGCTAGACTGTTGTCTCCTTCGATTCGAAAGATCGAAGAAGACTTGATAGCGGTCCGCCATGTCATTGGTTGTGAGCATATATATATCTATTTCTGTGGATTGCGATAGAGTTCACTTCGAAAGTACGAATTTACATCTTATATCATAACCTAGCAGTCCAACATGTGCAATATACAGCCTTACACTAGTATTCTACTCCCTTTAGACGAGAGATGTAGTCAAAATTGTAAGTAAGTGTGGGAGAGTCATGCTTCGGCATGAAGGGGCACGACTTTTTTTTTAATGGGGGAAAATCATCGAATGACTGGTCCCGCCTGGGTGAGGCGGGAGGGAGTGTCAGACTCTTACTGACTAAAAGCCACCCCGTTCCTTCTCCTGCACGTCGAGCCGGAGCCCCGGTTACCCGTTAGGTTCTAAGGGGCACGACTGGAGTGATACCATGGCTTCACAAAATCGATGGCAATGTGAAACAGTGCTTGCGTTGTGTTTGGTCGTATGAGTGAGGTCCAATTACGCCCTACTCAATTTCCGCAATTTCCGAATCCCCAATAATCCTTGAATTCTTATTCCCAAAAAGACAGGTATCGCACTTGTGTCTCGGGTGTCCATGGGCGGCACCGAACAGAAAGTGATCCGTCTGCTCGTTAACCGGTTTAGCAATAGGTAACAAATAATGTTTAAGCTGTTAAATGAAACACTATAATCTAACCCAGAATTCTTAATACTACACGATTGATATGAATAATATGGCTGTAAAGTCCACATGGATATATCATTATGTAATATACTGTAATAGATATAAGAGCTAAAATATGATGAGTAAGAATTTAGAAGATTAAACTCACATAATTTACAATTGTAGGTACAGGGTCTACTATTTTTATAACTATGGGGAACAGCAGGAATACGACGCCAGTTGTTATTGTAGCGAGGATCTTATCTGCAACAAAATTATATACAATTGGTTAATTAATAAAGAGCCTTGAGCAAGCGTGGTGATTAATAATCAAACCTTCTACGTATGAGAAGAGGTCTTTGCTCAGTAGTGTGCAATTAGGTATAGGCTGTTGATGTGATTCAAATAAATTTGTAATTATTAGTAATTGTTCTATGTTATACGTCATTGTGATCGTTTTTTGTACAAAGAACACAATAAGATGAATACAATAAGATGTTAATTGCTTAAAAATAATTGACTTTCAAAAAGTTTTGACTGTTTTTCTAAAAAACTCTTGAATTTTTGTTAATGAAGACAAAACAATGGACGAACATCATCAACAAAGTCGAGATGAATTTTGAGGTACTGGATCTACCTACGTCTGCAAACTATTTGTTTTATTTTTCTGTAAAAATTATATAATACGCAGCTCACACTATTTTTAAGGTATTAAAAACTTTTTACTAAATGAGTAATTCATACTTGTCCGTCTGTTAGATTATTTCAAAACAATCGCCATATATTTTTTATTTTCTAAAAAAAAAAAAATACTTTCCGCGATTTGATTTGAAATACCGTGTCACGTCACTTCAAGATACGATTTATACTTAGAAATAGCAAACTTACAGTCCTAAACTATGATTCATTTTGTCTCAGTACTGTTTTCTTATTTTATTTTATTTTATTTATTTGGGAAAACAAACAGTGACACATTACATGATACATTATAACACAATACATAGGTAGTTCGAACAAATGTGTAACCAACGGCGTTTTCCACAGAATATAAATTAAATCTTTTATGACAAAATAAAAAAATACGTGTCTAATAATTTTTCATTACCTAACTGACGGACTAATTACATTTTAAATTTTCATACCCCGGCATGAACCCAATTATATTATGTAGTACCTAATACATACTTGTACTCGCGATCTTCTTATTGATGGCGTCTGCTCTGGTCAGCACCATGGCTTCTGTATATATGTAGGTATGTATAGGAAATATGATTTACTTCATTGCTGGCCCATGTTTGTTCTGTAAAGAAAAGTTACATTATAGTTCCTACATGTAACCTTTATCAACAGCTTATAAATGCTCACTGCTGAGCAAAGCCTTTTCTTAAACGGAGAGGTTTGAGCACTAATCACCACGCTTGCTCAATGCGTGTTGGCGATTACAAACTTATAATTAGAAATTATTAGCCTAGATTTCCTCACGATGTTTTCCTTCACCGTTTGTCAGTGGTGTCTAAATAACCTTAGAATGTAACCTCCGTATAGATATAATAAAATGTAGATACGTATGTAAAGTGGCCAGCAGATCAGTCTATCTTAACCTGTCAAATTTATTCATTGGATTTTCGACTTTATATCAATTGCAATAACGTTGAAGATGTTATACAGAAATTTGACAGCAACAGATGGGTTGACGAGCTGGCCACCATATTTATTAAAAGTAATTTCAGTTTTTTTTTCTTTTTATAAATTTCACTTATCGCGTACCATTTCATTGTAAACTCCGTGGTATAGCACAGAATTCGAAAATCGAACGTAGTTTTTGCACGATCTCACGAATGGAGCGCAAACGCGTACTTAGTAGAAGTACCTAGTCGTAATTGGCTACGTTTTATAAGTAAATACATTATTATGTAGCTACTAAAAAAATATTTAGGAACTAGATAGGCACCTAATTATAATTATAATCATATAAATATTATTTACCTACTCTTTTTAACTTGTTATGAAAAATCCACAAAAAATATTGTTCATACAAATGTAGGCTCTAATCATCGGGGATAAGGTCTATAATAGAGTGACCGATAACCATTTGGTTATGACATTTTTTTCTCGTATAATTATGCTAAATAAACAATACGTAATTTTAGTTTTAAGCAAAAGCGTGGGATTTTACGTCTAGATATCTTAATAAAATCATACAGATTCTAATCTATTAACTATTTGCTAGAATTCAAAATGAATATAAATACTTACTTAAGTAAGAACTCTATTTTTTCTTAATAGTTTATATAGCAAGCCTTACCTAATTACGTTTTGTTATTTACACTATCCAACAAATGAAAACGTTAAAGGGATTGGTAAATAATAATGAAGAAAACAAGAATCGTATCGCTGAACTATCTATCTTATTATTATAATCTGTTATACACCGTGAAATCTACTTCGGTTTCGTCCCGAAGTAAGGAACCCATCTCGCCTGGTGGTGCACGATGATGTGGCCGACGATGGAGCACGCCTACCTATGAGCAACCTGTTCAGTCCGGACTTGAAGACACCCAAACTATATTTATCGGGAAACACAGATTGTTTAAAACAAAAATAACTGTTGAACCATTGCAAAAAGCAAACTTCGAAAGTGCATACGAACTTATAGTTCATTATCAAAACATCACGCCATGTAATTCTCAAAGAGGTATTTCTCGTTGGCACATGCGATGCGAATAGTGCCTACATATTTATATTTAGTGTTTCATTTGTGTATTTCCTTGATTTGTATTTTTAAGTAAAAAAAATTACATTTCAATTATTTTGTTCTTATTTTATACATCATCATTCTTCATCAATGACTCCGTTTTTTGCTCTCAAGTGTAGATGGGACCAGACATGAACTTCTATTCTAAAATCGCAGTTAGCAGTATCTTTAAAAGTTTCAGTAACTCATCTGCTATATTATCGAATACCTACTAAGTTTTTATTAAAAAGAAATCTCTTTTCAGCAGTGGACATAATATAGGTACTATGTTACCCATCTGCTGATGATAATAAGTATTAAATTAAAAATAATACTTACATGTCAATTTCCAAAATTATAGTCGTATAGTTTTGAATAATTGTGACCTACTACAGACCGGTTTTGGCAAATTGTCCAAAAATCCATTCACACAGAGTTATAAATCTTAAACACTTATATAATCAAAAAATAAATTAACCTACTCAATTTTCTTAGTCTAGTTCAAAGTCTAGTATAAAATAAAATACATACCTATCTGAGTCAATCCCTGATAAACCATCCATAAAATCCAGTAGGTACCACAACAAGACCTTTTTTCAGAAAACCTCCTTCCACCAACCATAAGCACAAACTACAAAACTGCACACGAATACGAAAATAGATAATAAAAAACTTTAAACATCGACGCAAGGTTTCACGAAAGCCAGTTGTTGTTTCACTGAACTTCAAGCGTTAACTAAGGAAATATATAAACAACCCTGTTTATATATAGACTTATAATAATGTTAGGACAAGCTCTGTATTCTCCATTATTGTATAGAAGTCATTAAACTTCAATTATAACAAACTAGCTTTTGCTATCGGCTTCGCCCACATGCCATGAAAAGTGACCTACGTGTTATTCCAGTCTATAATCTACCATTGTTCCGAATTTCATCTCAAACCCTTCGGCCGTTTCGACGTAAAGGAGTTACAAACAAACATACTAACTTTCATATTTATATTATTAATTACTATAGGATTGTATGTGACATATGTAAAACCAGTGATATTTAAATCAAGTGATGCGCCCCCGCTTTGCTTGGGTGCTTTGCCCTGACTTTCCAGCAATCACCACAAAAAAGGTTAATCCAATTTTGTGCAGTCGTTCTACATTTATGGGTGTACCTATAGACATTTTGGTGATTACTTTAATTTGATTACATTTTGGCATTTTTTTTTAAATCCTTTCCAGTTGAGAAAAGAACGAAAATAATATAAACATTCCAGGTAATTCTTACATTTCCGCCTAAATGGTCGGACTATGGACCCAGATAAGAAAATCACAGGCGAAGGGATTCACAATTTTATAATAAATAAAGTAGAACATTCATTTTAACACAAGATAGATCAACAACGGCGCCCGTTTTGATAAAAGACTGACTCACAAAAAGGCACAACTTGAGTGCCATTTTTTAAATCGTCCCTATTCTTGGATTACCTGATATATTTTATTGTGGAATGTTTGCCAGCTAAGACCAAGAAAAAATACATTTTACAAATTAATCCGGTTTCCAAAGATATTTATCCTTTTATACTGTTTTATAGTGACCAAAAGGGTTTGATTATTATTTTCAAAAATTTAATGATTTTCAAGTCGATGAGAGAGTCAGGTAGTTACATTTTTGAACAGATATAACACAAGATATTATTCAAAAACGATTTTGGTATTTTTCCGTTTTGGGTAAAGAGTTAATTCCAAGTTTCTTTTTTTATTGCATATTGATAAATGTATAC